AATTAACATCTATTGATTACTCAAACACTTGCATGATAGTGAAATTATTTATTAACATTGCTTTAATTGAATTCAAATATAATGACACAGGTAGGTACTGTAATCTTATAAGTAGGTAATCCACACATATTTGCTCTATACTTATATTGTGATATAAATTACACTTTTTGTTATTGCTACTGTGAGATATTTTTCTTAAAATTTTCAAGTGAATATAATCAATTTTTAGTTTAAGTTTAACAAAATTTTTTTGTTACACAATTATCAAATAAATTCTGAGATAACTTTTTATACATTTGAGGAACAATATATTTATTAATTCTTTCACCGAAATAGTTGTTACATTTGGGGACTACAAATTGTTTCCTTTTTCTATTATTACATCTATAATGAAAGAATCAAACGAGATTACCTTGTGAAGTTTGATATCTAATTATATGAATGTCTTGACTGAACCCATCCCAATTATACCCAAAAACTATCATTTTTTTTTTATGCTCTAAATAAAGACTGGTGAATGTCGGAGGCCAGCGCGGTAGCGTGACAAGTGGGTAGTGACTAAAGATGTTTTATTTAAATAAAATTTATTAAAAAAAAATTCTTATGCTCTAAATAATGACTGGTGAATGTCGGAGGCCAGCGCTGTAGCGTGACAAGTGGGTAGTGACTAAAGATGTTTTACTTAAATAAAATTTATTAAAATAACTTTTGAACTATGGTGAGGACGGCAACATCTCGTGTACTGCTGAACATAAACCCTAATCATCTTCAGGAGAGATATGAAGTATAATTTGTTCTATAAATCATCACAGGTCTCTGAAACCTATCATTATTTAAATTATTCAGAGCTATCAACAATGATAGTAGTATATAATGGTCATCCATCCAATGACTGGCCTTTATGAACATTACTTAACCTCTTCAATCGCATACCAAATGCGCTTAACACTGCGACGAATTTCAAGAAGCTGTTATTTTAGATTGTTGATTTAATTCATTCGCGTTATTTATTTGTCAGAGAAAAAGTGCACATTTACTTAATCTTCAACATTCCTCAACCAGCGGGAGGTTAATTACGCGAGATGGTAAAACTTTTCTTAAGCTCTTAATGGAAAAACAATTTGCTAAAAGAAGTAACAAGCCAAATTGAATATAACGAGATTCCACTTACTGTTGCCACATGCACAGGTGTGGTATAGTTATACAGGTTTTCTATTATATTTGCTTTAAAATAGTTTTTTAAATTTAAGCTTTTTATTAATAAACAGTATATTTAGCTGGCCCCATTTATTATTTGTTTGGGTGAAATCTAATAATTGAAATTTGACACCCTTCCTGTTGATAGATTGATCTGAAATTTGATAGGTACATTTCCTTGGTTCTGTGACAATACAATCAAATAAATTCTGTTTCATTGTAAATCCAAGGTGGTCGCTGCTACAAAATGGTGGGTTACACATTTTGTCACGACTACTACTATATGGGTATCAAATGAAAGGATTTGACTTGTAGAACATAGTTCACTATGATTAAATTATGTAAAAAAAAATTTGAACGGTTTTATTGTCAATAATGTATTAATTCTTAATATTATGTAAAAAAAAAATAAACCGTTTTATTGACAATAATGTACTAAAAAGTAAAAAAATAAATATATAAAATAGTAAAAAAAAGTAGAAAAAGTATTAACTACAACAGATATAATCAGAACTAGTGTCTCTTCGAGCCTTCCGAAGCACGGAGGAGCTCGAGGCAAAGTTTTTGTCACTTTTCTTAAAAGCGAAAACAACCATGGCCAAAGTATTCTTTCATTCTTGTAGGCACTCTTCTGGACTAACAGATAGGTATAGGGTACTATTTTCCTATAAAAGGTTTCACGTGTGTTACGTATGATGGATTAGCATAAAATATTCTCACAACGATAGTAGGAATAGTATTATATTACGAAACAAATGTAATATTTCTCTGGTACCATTATTTTGTCTACGGCTATTCCCGTGAGATATTATGGTTAAAAAATAAAAACAATATATAATGAAAAAGTATCGTCTCAGTTAAATATCACATATGAATATGATTTAGATTGATCCTACCTGATCTTTTTGGTAAAATCATGTTTTCATCAAAGCTATGTTTTTTGAAAGAATTGAGGTAAAAGTGAAGGAGACATACCTATAAAAAACTCTTTAGGTCTATTAAAAAGGCTCTAATAATAAAAACACTAACAAAAATTATCTGTATCAATAAATTAAAATTCTAACATAGCTTATTTATGTGTCTTATGTTCACTAATTATGTCCTGTATATGTTTATAAGGTAAATTAAGAATGTGGCGTTCAAAGTTTATGCTGTGTTGTTTTAGGTAAATCGACCTAGAAAGAGATTTGCTATCTATTCCAAATTGATTATATTAATCTATTATACCGAGTAGTGGTCTCCTACGTGAAATTGGCAGGATTGTGGCTAATACAAAATAGCCATTAAAATAGAAGAAGAGGATCATTCGTTCGTCAATGAAGAACATGTTAAAGTTATAAAATGAAATGAAATATCGACACATCAAACGTTAAGATGGCTAGAATCATGGCTAGAGTGTTATCGGTTATTTTTTAAGTTAAAATTTTATAGTATTTATTTCCTTTCGAAAATATCTTGTTACTACCGTTGATTTTGTTTCAAAGTTCTTCTTGTTTACGAATATTTTCGCAATAAAAAGAAGTTTTTTCTTAGTAAACAATGAAATATCGACTTCGCAAAAAGTTGACTGAGTTTTATTAAGTAGACAATAATTTTAACTGATTATTATATTCTTGACGAAAAATGCTCAAAATATCCACTTTGTCCCTGGCACTCTGAGATGGGACTCGAACCCATGACCTTTCACTATCCGGCCGACCGCTCTACCCCCGGAGTACCCAGCTCCTAACAGGACTGACGAATCTTTTAAGCACTTTTTACTTTTTCGCTACTACAGAGCGTATTTTCATCAATGTTCAGGCAATACACTCAAACAGCTAAAACAAATATTTTTACAAAGATTTAAACGTTTGAAAAGGAAAGCAGTCAATATAATGATTAATACTAAAACAACTGTATAATACTGTATAATTTAACAAGTTTTTATTACCTTGTAATGTATATCTTTGTTCGTCAAATATTGCAACTCCATTTTAAAGAAGTCGCTGTCTCATCAATCTAGCTGAAATTTTGTGTAAAAGTTAAAATAATAACGCATGATTAGATCTAATCTAATAAGGTGGATGATCCAAGATAGCGGCCTATATTTCATAAAAATCTAAAACTAAAAAAATGCCTAAAGAAATATTTGAGAACGAGGTTTTCTTGAAATGTGCTAACAAGCAAAAAGAGCTGTGTAGGTAAATCTAGCGTATCAATTTGGTCCATTGTTTCTATGTTTGTAGAATTATGACAGTTCTTTGAGTACATCATATGTGGGGTGACATATATTCTTACATATACCCTTTTAACCTCTTATCATCTGTATGCTAGTGATTTTTAATTGTATACACAAGATAAACTTGAGAATTTAGACAGGATCATCTTGCAGCTGAACCAAAATCTTTTTCGAAACAAAAGTTTTAAGTATTAGGGAGCGGTTAAAAGTTTTGCAATTACTGTGAATCCTTACAAACGTTAGGCTATTATTATCAGCAGTCCCAGGATGATTTCTCGACATAACGTGGATACGACACCGTTTCAGAAATATAATTATATTGTGTGTGGTGCGTGTTCATGGATCCCTTGGGTGTGTTGTATCAACTCAAAAATTTTCTTCCGTCCAGTACTAAGGTTGCCCTCGTCAAAGAGGGGAGGAACAAGTTCTTATTCATCCCCTCTTTGATTAAGCTGATATTTATTTTTTAACATTAACCTAATAAGTCTGGTTAAGTTGGATCTAAATAATAACGTATTCGGTCTACGTAAATATGACCATATCACTGATATTCGTAAACAATGTAAGTGGTTGTCTATTCTTGAACGCAGATGCTTAAGGTTAGTATGCACTTAGTATATATTACTATTCACTTAGTATATTTTACTCTCCAAAATTCTTTACGATCCACATACTCTGGGATGTATGAAATCTAAGTTTTGATTTCAGTTTCTCATCAAAAGCAACTTCGCTCCAGTTGCAATCTGGTACATTAATTTCTCGCCCATCATACTTAATTTGTTTCTGATTCTTTCAACCTTACAGCCATTCGACCTTGGAATACACTCCCTTTGCAAATTTGGAAAGCTTCAATCAATTCATTTACGTGTATGTGTATTTATATATTAATATATAATTTAGATGTTTATATTGTATACTAGTATATATTATGTATGTTAAAGTTAACATTACTTTATTAGAAACTGGGAACTAGGTTATCCTATTATTTTACTGATACCACCTTATGAGTTTACTATACATTTTCATCAGTTTGACTGGTAAATTCAACCTTTTTATTATTTAGTCTGCCATTTGCTATTTTAAAGGAAAAAAGATTAAATAAAAAATACTCTTTAATTATATGCAAAATATGTATAACAGCAAAAACATGTATAAAACTTTGTAGCTATAGACTTTTTTTCGAATAAGAATCTTATTATATGACATACAACACAGTAAATTTGACAATATCACAGTAAATTTGACGATATATTTTATATTTATAAAAATGATATTAAGAGTTGAATTCCAGCACAGAAGTTTTGAAACTCATAATACTATCTTTACCTATTTTTGTATCATGATGAATTAGACACGTAATATTTGGCTTCGTTACTGTTAATAATATATAAAAAACAGTTTCATCTAGTTTAAAAATATATGTATTTATCGTAAGATAGAATTTCAATCGGTATCTGTTGTGGAGGCGTACGATGTAAATAAAATACAACGACGTATGTCTTTAAATAAACACAGTATTCAGGCAGAGTTATTATTATATTTACCCATTCAGATAACGTTCAAAATATAATATGTTGAATTTTATTTCTTTAATTATCGAATTAACAAGCACCGAACATTATGTATTGTCATAAAAAAAGTACATAAATTATGACATTGTATTGATTTTTATACGGTCATTAGCTACCTAAACAAGAAAAAATAACTTCTGAAAGTAGACTTTGGTTGAAGTATAAACTTTTATTGAAGTCAAAAATCCGATTCAAAGGCATAATTAACTGAACGATTAAGAGTCCACGATACCTATTCAGCATAAAAAACTAATAAAGGACTCGCCCTTTATTTGCTAAAATACAATGTTTATTATCCATAGAGTTAATATTTATTTACCAACAGCTTATTAAACAAGATATATTATGCCATAACAAACAATAAGCCAATTATAGGTTTCCACGTATAGATATAGCTTAGATCTAATCATTTATTTCACGCACAAACTATACAATCAAATAAATAATCGTACCTGCGTCATTAATTAACGAGACAGTAAGTATTCTATTAGTTTCCGCTTAAATGAATTAATGTTGCAATAAAAGATGTCAACATCTTACCCACACTCATCAAGCATCATATTTAAGCTTACGCTGGCTCTAACAATAAAGCTGTTCTGCCTATAATTTGTAGATGACGAGGGAACCGCTATAGGTCGGTAATATCTTTGCGACCTTGTCGGGACTGACAATTTAATGATATCTAATAATTCTATACAATCAATTTGACAATTTATAATCTGATTTTCCTGAGGTACAAAATAATAAAAGCTGATAATATTATAAAAACATAAATAAAAATTTATACCTACCATAGTCAAATCACTTATATGAAAGCATAAGTAGAATGAATAACGTAAAGTTAACACAACATGCAAATGCGCTCCCATATTACACAAATAAAAAACCGGGTTCTCAGGTAAATATTTCATTTCTGCGTAGCAACAATGGCAGTGAAAATATATTTTATAAATATATATAAATTATATTTTAATTTATTCTTCATTGCCTTATATATCCTTAATTAACTCTCCAAAAGTTAAACCTAAAAAAGGACGCGGAAAGCATTTTAATGGTGGTTTCGTTATAGAATAATTTTACTTACTACTAAAAATAAAGCTTTTAATAAAAGAAGCTTCTTCGACTTTGTAAAGTTGTTGTATCTCCTAAACTACTTCTTGGATTTTCATAAAACAGCAAAGAACCACCTGTTATCGGTAAATAAATAAGTTATCGCGTCTCCATTAACAAGTTTAGGAGGCTTTCTATCAACTGCCAGCAACATAAGAGATTTTGGCATACCTTTCAAAAAATATTTTTGTTAAGGAAATATTTATGAAATTCACCGATGAACTTTTTTATGGTAACACTCTGGGATAAAACATAAGGTTTTTACAAACGATTTCAATGTTGATTTCAGACTTTTTGTTTTTTCTTTTGTGTTTAAGAATATGTTAAACAGTGTAGCACTGCTATTTTATAATAAAATCAGAGACGAATTTAATGTTGATAACAGCACCGTCACAATATAGTTTTAATAAAATGAAACCTACTTCAAAAAAAAATAAAAAAGATGGCTGCCGAAATCGAACTTAAAACTGAAAGAAACACTTGAAGAACAAATGACTACGGCTTGGCTAAATAAAAATCTCAATGCACTCATGGAACCATTCTGTGGATCATTTGAAATCAAAGCCCCCGCGCTTGCAATGAGAATTTCAGTTTAGCCAATCTAAGCCACTTGTTTCTTACATTTAAGTTAGATTTTGGCAGCTTATTTTTTTACTTTTTGACGTTTCTAACCTATACATGCAAATGTCTTTCAAAAGTAATAAAGATTTTAATATTGTTGCCACTTGTGCATGTGCCTTTATTTGCAGGCGGGTGGAGACATGTCCCTTATCTTAAGTAGGTAGGTATATAGACTAAATAAATATAATAATGTAATTGTTGTGTGAAATAGTTAAATGACTCATTTTTTTCAAAAGAAATATCTGCCCTATAATCGTATCTCATAACGGTAGTGTGCTCCAATCTTAGAGGCTCCAATCATTGCGATTTATGTGGGGCTGGTTCGAACTTTACCTAAAATGTGATCTACACGGTTGCAAAACAGCATTCCAATAGAGATGATTTTCGTTTTTGTATACCATCTAGTAAGCAGACAGTCAAATTGGTGCAATTGTAAATCATATTTTGATATGACCTTCAAGTTCAACGTAATCTCTGTTAGATCGCTGGTTTATAACCGTGTGGAACACACTTTAGATTACGGTATGCTAATCATGGTACTTATCGTAAATTTGGTGCTTTCTGAAACTGATGTTAAATATCTCTCTTGCATTTGCCCCTTCGGTTAATAATTCAAAAATTATAAGTGTGAATAAAAAGTTTGCAAAATTTATATTAATTTATGCAAAAACAATTATGCCAAAGTATATTAAGGAATAAAAATACCATAAAAGAAGGGATCTCGCTCTCAACACCAGCAACATTAAAAATGAATAAAATGCCAGAACCTTCGGAACATAAAGCATTAGCGTCGTTATTTGTGTCTGTAGTCGTTATTATCAGTGAAATTTTAGATAAATAAATCACGTCAGGGGAAAAGAACTCACTAGCCTACACTATCCCTCAGGATGTGGTACAGTCTAGTCGTGCGGTACATGATGGGGTTCGTTACTGATACTACCGTACTTCTGGTCCATAGAACATGGAAATAATTAGAAGGGCCTTATCTGCGTAGCTGGAGCGCCTCAATGATACGAAGCCTTTCTAAGGCAGGATTAACCTCTTAAGTGAAACAAATGATAATCGTTGTCGAACTACATATGAAGCCGGTATGTGTGTTACTTCACAAAACACTCTTAAATTAAATAAATAATTTTGGATCTATAAGTGCACAAATTAAAACCTTTGTGTTTAGGAATCTGAAACGAAAAGGGTATCATGGCATACGACCTGAAATGATAATGAATTCAACCTTGAACTTGAAACCAGTGTACGAGCCACTCGACTAACAGACGTCTGTATGTGTATTGTGTGTGCGCTCGTGTCGTGATAAAAAGCGGCGACGAACTTATATTCTATGGTTTCTGTCGGTAACTTTTGTTAGACTTTCATTACCCATGATGGAATATGTGAATAATGTTGCATTAGTTAGTGTTTTCGATGTGGAGCTTAGTAACTTTAGTAACTGCCGGGCATAGGATTGGTGATTAAATATTCATTATCTTGGAGTTCCTGTGCTTCAGAAAGCACATTGCAGCTAGTCACTTGCCCCTGGTCACATCTGCAGTTATTAACATCCAACGATTAGATCAGTTCTCCCTATTTGATTGACTCCATATGGAAAGGCTATACCCCAACATTAAGAACAATAATAGGCTGGTGATAATAAAATGACTTAATATTTTTGTGTTCATAATGGTTTTATCAATATTTCTTTTTTAATATTATTCATATCTTAAGAAGACCATATTAAATACTGCCATGAATGGTTCTATCTCAGTAATCATAGTGTTATTTGAATATCAATGTTTGCTGATATAGGGACGACGAGAAGTAAGGGAGAACAGTGTCCCTGTAATCTAAGAAATTATGTATACAAGAAAAAATTTAAGAAGTGCACAAAATTGTATATTGTGTTCATTACGGTAAATCATATTTACGATTTTGTTATATCTTTTATAACCTGCTAACATCGTTGATAAAAAAATTAAATAACGTCTATAATTTTGTTGCTACTTATAATAACTGTAGCCGAGGGTGATTTCTTTTTTTATTCATTATTAAATAAACATGCTAATATGAAAATCGTGAAAAAAACTACTGCACTTTAAAAAAACACTAAAGTTATTTTAAAATATTCACTAGGCTTTAAATAAAATCAAATTTTGAGAAGTAATTTCTTGGGGATATGTCATAATTTAAGCATATATTTTTAACAAATAAACAAGAATTTAAATGAAGTAAGCTATTAATATATTAGATAACAACACTATAATTATTAGCTATCAACAATTTTTACTTCGAATTCTTGTCTATTGGTTATAAATATTTGTTTAAGTGATTTTATCAAGTAATTACTTCTTTGTAGATACGCGGAAATATTTATTCGTAGTATTTGGTGAGTGATTCCTTGAAATCCTTTGAGAAATAAGTATTGGAAGCGTACACCAATTTATTTATTTTTTATTCATATAAGTCGTATATAATCATGTCCACTTTTGATACATAGTTTTATCTGTCACATATTTATTAAAGGTCGCGTCTAGCCATCTGCTATTAGCGACAATTTAAATTAGTTTTTGTTTAAAATAGAATAATATCTTAGTATCTTTTCATCTGTAGGCCAGGGGATTCGTAAATAGGGATGATGACTAATTTCTGTTTGTTTGTCCGTCAGGTAGAGTGTTAAAAAATATTAAACATGTATTTTTTTTTTCTTAATCATAAAATTACGGCATTACATTGAGTTGAAATTTCGCATGACGTCACGTTAGAGTACGTTTTCTACTCAACTGTGACGTAGCGAGCCCCCACTCCTCAACTTTAATGCCTGTTATGTAAGCTATTTGTTAATTTGAAGTAAAAAAAAAAATACGTATCTAATATTTTTCTACTATCTGACTGACGGACTAAATAGAATTGCATTTTTTTTACCCAGTTTTTAAACATTGTAAATAATGTTTGAGGTTATAACATCTGTCAAAACTCTAGATATTTGTGGAGTTCCTCAAAAATTAATGCATTTAATCAAAGATTTTTAAAGTTTGACTCGTAAATATGAAAATTAATTGTTAATGTGCACTTTTTACCACATGACGAAAGAATATTTTGTCTGTCTTTCTGTCATTGGTCCATTTTAAAATCCGAACCGCAATCAGGTAGGTATTAAAGTACTACTTTTTTTTAATTATTTTAAGAGTAGCAATTTAATATTAAGAGATTTAATTAAAAAAAAGCTATATTTTAAAATATATCACATCCCTTTACGCGTTAGTAAATTTTTAAGGTCATAATTAGACATGAATAATTTAAAAATAACACTGGTAAACAGTATTTTTGTTAAACAAAATCGAGTCGGTTTTTTAAACACTACTACCTACCCGCATATAAACCTCATACTTAGTTTAGTTCAATCACCCTCAGTTTTCGTTAAACATAAACTAAATTGATTACGCGAATTTTGCTTACCGACGTATGTTTCCGATAAATTAATATTGAGTTATTGAAATTAAAACGGTTTTTTTTTTTGTGATTGTCGTTTCTGTACATCGTAATAAGATGCCCAGAGTGTGTGTAAACCATCCTGATAACTTTTGTTACATTTGCGGTCAACTTACTATTAAAAGTCACCGTCGTAATTTGACACCATTAGTTAAAAACTGTTATTTTAATTATTTTGGCTTTCCGGTGCAAAATTTGGACAAAACCTGGACTCCTAGTGTTTGTTGTGCACAATGTGTTAGTTTATTAACATCATAGGCTAAAGGATCTCGTCATATGCCGTTTGCAGTTCCAATGATATGGTCTGAACAGAAAGACCATGTATCAGATTGTTATTTCTGCCAAATTTCTATCAAAGGTATTAATCACAAATCTAGACACACCGTGAACTATCCGAATTTACAATCTGCTCAAAGACCTATCCCACACAGTGATGATCTGCCTGTTCCTCAGCCTCCAGTAAACACGGATGACGTGATTGATGAAGAAAATGTATCTGAGAATTCTGATTCCGATCCGACTTTTGAGCCCAGCACTTCAAATACGGCACCTCATTTTGTAAATCAAAACGATCTCAATGACCTTGTACGTGATTTGGATCTCAGTAAAAGACAGGCAGAACTCTTGGCTTCCATTTGATTCCATCAGGATATATCCAACATGGAGAAACGGTAAGTGGAGTCCGAACATGTTGGCTGATTACTGTTGGACACTCAAAAGAGATGTACCTGACGCTAAATATTCCCTAAAATCCTGAATAAAAGTCAAATGTTAGTTGTTTTTCTTGATTAAATTCAATTTTCAACCATATTTACTTAAAAAAAGTGTATTGCAGTTGCAAGAAAACTGAGGGTGACTGAAACTTTTTAAAAATGCAGATTGTTAACAGGCTAATTGTAGATACAAAATATCCCATTCAAATTAATTTAACTTTCATTAAGGTCATTTTTGTCAATCAGTGTAATTATTTCAAAGGAATTGAATATCGTCGAGTTTTAGGGGTAGGTAATATCGTAACTTTTATTTACCAAGAAAATATTTAAGAAATCAAGTTATGATTTAGTATCTCCGTTTAGAAATATAACTGATTCTCAATATTCTTTAATGGTTTGTTTTGACTTGGTTATGTTTACGGTTGATTTGATTATTTTCTTGGGTTTGCGTACGGTTGATTTGATTATTTTCTTGGTCGCAAATAAATAAATATTATTATTTCCGTATCCATAATTTACTCTTCCCGACCCTCGTAATATATAATGACTCTTGTAATATATTTGCTTCTCATTATGGGTATTATTATTGATAATAAATTAAAACGAAATTAAAATAATAAAATGTTGTATTGTTATCAAAATGATCCATTAATCAAGTTTCTTGATTTAGTTTTACCTTTTTCAGG